AAAAAACTTTCTAAGAATTAGTTAACACTGCAAGATATTTGCTATGAGTACAGAAAACAAATTTTCATGTCGGAATGGTCAGGTGGTTAAGGCACTCGACTCCCAATCCCCAGGTTGCGGGTTCAAATCCCCCATCTCTCCAAATATACTCACCCTTTCAGCCGTGTGCACGTTATAATGTGAAGGCCAATCTCACTATTCGTTGATAAAAGACTAGCCCAAGATTTGGCGGTGGTTGATGAATTAGGGACGGCTAACGCAGATAACCCTCGTGTAGCTTTGCCAGAAATTCACAATAAGCCAAACCTTATAGGAAGCAACAATTTTAGAGTTTACAAATTTCAATAACTTAAATACTGTTTATTTTGCAGTTGTATACATAATATGTTCAGTATAAGGGCGTTTGTGAATGTGAATTATATACTCCAGTTCGTTCATTTGAACGTAATTTGAAGTAATTAAAAATAAATTCATTCTATGTTTAGCTTACAACATTCCAATGTGAGCCGACACAGCTAGAAATTCCATTAGTTGCATTATATAAACATTTGGTTCTTTAATAACTGACATGCCTTACGTCAAAAACACTATCGTTTATTAACAGTTATACATACTTACTGAATGGCGTTACGATTCTTGTGTGTGTGTGTGTGTGTGTGTATTAAAATTAGCATACAGTTAACTGTTTCGTAAGAGGCCAAATCTGCACAAGTTATAAAATTGTATTTACTAAAACAATAACCAGTGTAAATAGGCTAATCTTGAAACTGGAAATAATCACCGCTAGTGTGTTTGTTTTTAACACTAAAATTCTCATGCAGCAGGAATTCTTCTGCAAACAACTTCAAATTTCCAAATTTTTGTTTTCGCATAATCTGATAAATTACGATTTCTGTCCAGGATAATTTCAAATATATACACATACAGCAAAATATAAAATATATACCATGAAACTCTAATTCAGAGTAAAGGCATTCTTGATGATGGGGTTCGATTCCCAGAAGCGAACAGATTGAAATTAGTCAGTTGTGTAACTTTGCACTAAGTTCCCCAGTGGGACAATGGTAAGTCTGCGAATTTACAACGCTAAAATTAGGGGTTCGATTCTCCTCGGTTGGCAGCAGATACCCCGATGTGGCTTTGCTGTATAAAAAGTACACACGCACTAAGAAAATCATAACCACAAACCTTGATAATGGGCCTGGCATGTCCTGATGGTTAGAGCGCTTGACTCGTAGTCTGCGAGTCGAGAATTCGAATCTTATCACCGAACAAGCTTACCCTTTCAGCTGTAGGGGCGTTATAACGTGACGGTCAATATCACTATTCGATTAAAGTAGCACAAGAGATGGCGATGGGTGATGTTGACTAGCTGCGTTCCTTCTAGTCTATAACTTTTTAATTCAGGAACGGTTAGCGCAGTTAGCCCTCAAGTAGCTTTGCGCGAATTTCAAAATAAAACAAACCCTAATAATGTGTTGACAACCACATACAGGTTACTGTTGGCTTGATAATGAGGATGTTAAACTTAGCAATTTCTAAGTGCTTATTTACTTTGGATTAATTTTATTAAGTCTAAAAGAATACAACATTTTACATACGAAAGACTAGCTCTCTGGCTCCGCCATTTCTTCTAAATGATAGATAGTAAAGTTAATCCAGATAAAGATAATATGTTTTTCCTTATAAAATCAAACTCTGTTTGGTATGCGTTTTCAACAATGGCTTTTAAGATATGACGCTTATAAAAAAAATATATACTAATTTTTTGGTTTGTCTATAGACTGAAAGCGTAAATGAAATGTCTAGACAGCGAAGCTGCAAAAATATCCCCCCTCCTTTTGGGGAATTAACTTACTGTCAATCGTAAGCAACACAAAAAGACAGAAGTCAGATCTGCACATGCGCCAGATGATATTTGAACGTTACACACTTTCTTTAAGCTTTAGACGTACCATGTAATAAAATTACCTGTTAGCTGGCTTAAGACAAGTAATTTATGCCCCTAACACAATCACAATGAACAATTGAACACTATACTCGCGATATAAATATCTTATTGATAAAAGACAAACAATGGCACGTCTTATGTTTTGTTTTTTAAGTTTCTTAAAGTTGATATTTAAAGTTTAGCCTTTAGAGCATGGAAAAAACCAACAAAAACAAATATAGAGGTAGTTAAAAATCCCTCAGCATCACAGACACTGATTACAAGATTACTTATTTTACGTTATGCGAGGAAAATCAAATATATGGTATTAAGAAAACAGCGAAATGCAAGATACCATGATGTGCCGCAACAGGAATTTCGTGTGATCCAAGGAATCATCGATAATTCCGTGGATTTATGGATTCACGAATTATTAATAAGGAAAGTATTCCGTATATGACACACAAAAAATTTAACCCTCCTAATCACGATTCTTTATTTTATTTTTCCAGTGACATACATCACTAGTTTTTGTTTTGTTTGTTGTAAGCACAAAGAAACACAATGGGCTATCTGTGCTTGTCCATGAAGACTATCGAAACCCGGATTTTAGTAGTGTGAACCCTCAGATTTGTCGCTGAGCCTCTGGTGGGCTTCTCTTTTAAACTGGGGGCGTTATAATGTGACGGTCAATCCCACTATTCGTTGGTAAAAGAGTAGCCCGAGAGTTGGCGGTGGGTGGTGATGACTAGCTGCCTTCCCTCTAGTCTTACACTGCTAAATTAGGGACGGCTAGCGCAGATAGCCCTCGTTTTGCTTTGCGCGAAATTCAAAACAAATAAACAAACAAACCTTTCATAATACATTTAAAAACACTTTGCTCATAGCCACACGCTTCCAAAACAAGATATGGAAACCATATTGGAAATTTATTTAGCCCATTTAATTTTCCTTTTTTCAAATAAAATGTATAAAATATCATAACATGTTTTTAATAGTCTGGAATTGAGATTTTTTAAATTATTTCGAATCTATATTGTCTTTTACATCTGACTTTAAATGGTAATCTTTCATATTATTTAATTACAGCTAAATTAACCGTTGTCTGATGGCTGGATAACTGTCACAGGCAGATATTTGTCTCCTCTCAATTATTTCATCTGATAATTTTCTGTTGCTGTATTATTCTATATTAGAAGTAAAACAAAATGACAAAGAATCATTACACGAGTTTACAGTTATTGTCAAAAAGAATATAATGATTCAGAAATCTTAATTATATGAGATTTAAAAGCTATAAAAAAAAGGAAAATATAATTATTTTCTACATGATTACTTCTATTTCATATGGATGTTAATGGTACAGTAACAATTGTTTCAAGAAAACCAAAACATTAAGATGTGAAAATAAATATAGAAGGCCTTTACTTGAAATACGTTGTTTTAATTTCTTAATTATGTGCATAAGTTTGAAAACTTACTTCGTTAGGAAAAATACGAAGAATTTATATTTGATAGACCAAAGGACTCCAGCTTAATTGAACAATTTATTGGATCAAGTTGTTCTGTTTAAAGTCTTAAACGATTTCATTTTTCCGAAGTCGTTCGATAAGTGTATCAAAATTTAATAAAATAATTAGAGGAAATAATTGGATAACTTAACTTAAGTTCCAATGAAATTTAAATGGAAAGATGAGAAGGTAGAAAGTTTTGTAAAATATTTAAAATCAAAAATGGATAAAGAAAACTGTATGATATTACAAGAATTTTATAAAACTTTAGTGTTATTAAAAGAATTGGCATAATTGATAACGTATTTTACTATTCCGTTATACATGAGCAATATAGTTGTGAAATATGTAACATTAAGGAGAATGGGGACAAAGGAAAGACAGTAAATAAATAGAATATTAATACCTATATTACTTCGGAATATATCCTACTGAATTACACCTAGAAAATATTACATGGGATTCGAATCCGTAGCCATAGGTTTCCTAAATACAGTCGTTTGAATAAGGAAAGTGACATTTGAAACAACCGATATTTCTGGCCTGTTGTTTATTTACAGTTCATTGAAGATTTTAAGATATATCATACGTCTTAGTTTGTAAAGTCTATTTAAAATAAATATTTTCACTTAAACGTTCTGTAAAGATATTTGTATAGAAACCCTGGAATATTTCATAATGTAAAGCAGGAATAATAAAAAAAACCTGTTGACCGTGGATAAATGTTTTGATGTATCTACAAATTTCAGAAACGTGTAAAACGAACTAAAATATTATATTTACATTTATCCTCATTAACCCTCAGGATACCTACTTGTTTTAAACTGTACCGATAGGACTATTTACTGCATCATATTGGTAAACCTGTGTTCTTTACTGTCAGAGCACTTTGTGTAAAGAAGTGACCAAAATAATTCAGTGAGATCATTTGTTTTCTATTTAAAATACGTAGGAGACACTACCAAAATTTAGCTAGATGACTAATACATAGATCACCCTACCAACAATTAGCGAGAAGACTAATACATAGAGGAGCCTACCAAAATTTAGCTAGATGACTAATACATAGAACCCTACCAACAATTAGCGAGAAGACTAATACATAGAGGACCCTACCAACATTTAGCGAAATGACTAATACATAAAGGATCCTACCAACATTTAGCGAGATGACTAATACATAGAGGACCCTACCAACAATTAGCGAGAAGACTAATACATAGAGGACCCTACCAACATTTAGCGAAATGACTAATACATAAAGGATCCTACCAATATTTAGCGAGATGACTAGTAAATAGAGGACCCTACAAACAATTAGCGTGATGACAAATTTTGTAACATTAATAGAAGTTTATGTAACTTCCTGTGAAAATTTGTGACTGTTTGTTATTTAAAAAAACGTTTATGGAAGATGGATTCCATCGGCAATTTTAGGGTTAAGTAATAGTCAATTAAATATTTATTCTGTTAGAGTAATAGTAACATATATAATTACATGTAAGCATATATTTGCTTATTTTAGCAAGTATTTCTTACGATGAATTGCTAATATTTTCTATTTCAGAACAGAATCTTGTTACCGCTGTGTTGTGATTCATGAAAAACATATCAACGTCCTTCAGTATAAAGAAAGTGAGTTTTGTTTTGTTTTAATTACACTTTTGCACCATCAAACTTAACATAAATGAAATCCTTACGTAACCGAGTAAAGACAAAAACAATAATTCATCTATTATATATACGAAGAGAGATAGAAAAAAATGAGTTTCAAGTTTCTGATTCATAAGCTTTTTTTCGTACTGGAAAGTTTTAATTTGTTTTTGATAGTTTCATCGAACAAATTAAGTAACTTTACTGTGTGTTAGAGAACGTGTGTTCATGAAGGTTTCAATATGTGAATTACAATAAGAGAACTTAAGAATATCGAAATTAAATTTCTTATTATATTTATCTTTACCTAGCTGATTAAACTATCAAAAACAAATTAAAACAAAATTAAGATGTAGTGGCCAATAAATGGTTGAATAAAGCCTCTCTAGTGCATATTTTACAAGCCCGAATTCCAACAAGATTTATTTTCTTTCTTTTTCCTTTTATTTTATAATAAACTCAATGATCTGGGCGATATTTCTTGACCTTTCTGACTCTTTACTACAATCAAAGCCACTTTTATACGAAGTATGGTTTAAACTAGTTTCTGACACGTGTCTGGTGCAACCTGTTCATGTTCTTCCAAAAGTTCTGCCAGTTGATGATGACTGGAGAGGTATACATTGATGTGCAGAAGTCTTAGACACATTCTGGAGTTACAATAGATGTTAGGAGTATAAACAGTTTACTCAAAGCCTCTGTTAGTGTTTTCTACTATTAAAACAACTTTGACTGTTATTACTACAGTTTAATTTGGTTGAGAAGGAACCAATTTCGTCATTTAGCAATCTCTAATTCACGTTGATCAGAATCTTCACAAGCTTGTGATTACAACAACTCAAAGTAAACTATACATGAGTAACCAATATGAAGCGTTGTAGTAGCTAATCCATCACATTTACCAATCAAAACTAATTGATGACTCATTGTCAGGCGCTCCTCGTCACTGACATCATTTGTTCCCCTCTACAAACCCATCAAACTCAAAGGCTATTTTATGTACTGCAAAATACAGATCTATCAGGATTAGCTGTTTGCTTAAAGCAAAATAGCTAAATTTTAGTATAAGATCGCCATAGAATTGTATTTCTGCATAGAGAAGGGAAAACATCGTCTGGGATAACATAAGCAACAAGTAGAGAAACATTATCTGTAATTAAAAAAAACCAGGAGTGAAAGACCCAAAAAAACTGTCTAAAAAGGATGAACAATACTTGAAGATAATATCCTTAAGGGATTGAAAGAATACAGGCGTTGAATTGACAATAGAACTTGCAAAAGGCTCAGGTGTTGTCGTCCATCCATCAACATTATGAAGATCACTCTTGAAATCAGGCCTTAAAGAATGTGTTACAGTAAACAAAAAACCCTGTTAAAAATGGGGAACAACATTAAAAGGCTAAAACCAACATCATAATATCCAACCACAATTCTTCACAGGAGGCACGAAACAATTATTGTCGAATTCTTCCCCTACTTTCCTTTAGACCCACATGGGAACTACTTTGAAACTGTATGGAGCAGCTCTCTCTACTCCAAAGTTATCGAAAACGCACTACATAGACCTCACAGATAGTGCCTTCTCACATGTGATCATATTGAATGTAATAAAGTCTAGCAGAGAATTTTCGACAAAGGTAATTCTTCTCATTTCTGTCAAAAGTCTAAGAATAAAGCTTTTCTCACAGCACTCGCGAATTACCTCAATGCTTCTGTAAACTAACATCATCTTAAGATTCTGCTGTTATTTCAAATAAAGACTTATTTAAATTATATCCAATTTCACGATGTCTACACTTTTTTAAACGCTCTCAAAACTTTGAAGCTGCTTATAAGTCTTGCAAAAATTAAATCTTGTAATCCTTAGATTGGCACAGTTCTCTATAATTTATTTTTTTCTTATATAAATTCTTGGCATAGCGTTTGCACCTCTATGTTGAATCCCAGAAAAAATGTTTCAGTCAGATCCTAACCCTGACTTCAATTGATAGTGACTCGAGAGAAAATATCCATTAAACTAACACTTTAATACAATTTTCCTCACACATCTCGAATAAGATTCAGCTCAAATGCGAACTTGTTCTCCTTATAAATACATATGAATTTATATTGGAAAAATACATCTGTTTATCCTTTCAAGATGTAGTTATTGAATTATATAAGCCTGTGTTTGAGCCTGATTGTGTGCATTTGTTATACAGAGTAGTAACATGGGCCTGCAAATATAAATTGTATTCACTCTGCTGAGAAAGTTAAAGCAGTCAGTAATATTTTTCTGGATAGATTTTTGGCAATAGTAGTATTTTATTTTTGGTATTATCTGAGTTATATATTTATTTATTATAGTTAATCATATCAACGTGTTTTCTTTATAGCTTACTGCTCCTTACCTAGTGAACAACCGAGGTTGGAAGATTTATGTTTACAAATAAGTGGAGATGCCTTGCTCTATTCCATGTTTAGACGTAAGTAATTACCAGAGAAAATGACATTGTGAAAAGAAGAGCATAGTTATAAAAATTATAATCAATTATATCAATGTCTTCAGCAATACTGAACACATGGTAACCTCACATGCAATTGAATGCACCAAGATCTAAAATTTCAAAGAAATTAAACTTTGACTTTACTTAGAATAGAACAATAACTAGAAAAAGAAAAAAAAACTAGTTATACTGAGTTATCCGAACGTTTTCACAAATAAAATTAAAAATCCTTTTGACGTTTCACAGAGTTCCATAAGAACGGTATTAACTTTAAATGATTTATTGTCTATTAAAATTTCCAACGGTTTATTTGTGCATGAAACCGTGACTTTTGTCTCTATCTTGGTCACGAAGAAAATTGGCATTATTATATGATGCTTGGGTTTCTCCAATAATGGATATTCTTTGACAGTTACATTAACGGATATTGATAATGAGTCATGAATCATGCAGCTTCCACAAATGAGATTTTATAACCCGAGATCGTTTACTGTCCAGTGATTTCATGGTCTTTATAAACGTAATCAGTTATTCTCGCGTTTCATATGTTTTCAGTAAGACAATTGCAAATAAAAGTTACTACTAATATGCAATATTAATTTTTTTGTATAAGTTAGTTTTGTTAAAGTAGAAGCCAATTAAAAATTTCTCATGGTTTTACTGATATTTAATGCTGATTAAGAAGCTACAATTAGCTAATCTAAGTTCTTGAATATCCAGCACCGTATTCTATAATCTGTTATAAATTTATTATAGATGAATTATTAATGGTAGAATACGTTGCGATTAATGGGACTTCTCAGAAAGCGATTACAACAAAATAATGTCCGAATTTAATTACAAATTATTTGGCTTTATAAAATTATTTAAACAGTAAGAGAGATAAGAAAATGGTGTACATTTGGAACAATGTATTCTTTTTTACCCGTAACACTACTTTCTGTGTGTTTTCATATATTATTAGGCTATAGCTGTAATTGTCTAATTTATGATACTTCTCAGTTTTTAGTAGATTTGGTTTTCTTCCCAGTTAATTATCTTTATATAGTCTACTATATAATCTCTAGTCTGTTTCTTCACAAAATATCTAAAGTATCTGAGAACAAGAAGAAGAAGAAATGGGAGGAATAAATTATCTTATTTTAATCACAAAATGGTGTCAGCTTTTACGTGCAAATCTTGACGGTGTTGATCAAGGTGCTTTTTCAAGTAATCTTGAAGGTGTTGATCAAGGTGCTTTGTCAAATAATCTTGAAGGTGTCGATCAAGGTGCTTTGTCAAATAATCTTGAAGGTGTTGATCAAGATGCTTTGTCAAATAATCTTGAAGGTGTTGATCAAGATGCTTTGTCAAATAATCTTGAAGGTGTTTATCGAGATGCCTTGTCAAATATTCGTCAGTAATCGATAAACTTGAATAGTCATTGTGATTCAAATACTGTACATACCACCTTTCTGATAAAACCAATAGTTCAGTTGAAAGTATTATTTATATGTTAGTATTTAGCAACACTTCCTACGCACACGATCTAAATTACAGACATAGATCGAATAGTTTAAACATAAATTCTTATTCGATGCTACGGTGTAACAGTATTATAAAATATATATATTTATCAATGATTGAGTGAGCAATAGTTGGTACTTAGTTGTTCTTAAAAGCTTAGTAAAACCACTACAGAGTAACTTTTTGCCCTTGTTTCTGACATGACCTACAGGTTAGCCTGCCGGACTACATATCAGGAAATCCAAGGTTCAAGTCCGCGATATGCTACTGAACACTCGCATTTCTGGCTGTGGTCGAGTTATAAAATGATAGTCAATTCCATTTTTCCATATATGATGACAGATGTCTCCATCTGGTCAAGCATCATTATTTAGTATTGAAATTTTTGTCCTCTTTTACCATTAATGTAATCAGGAAGTATCTAGAAACATAAACATGAATGAGAAAGCTATTTAAGATTTTTATGAATGTTAATTTAAAGATGATTCATCATAAGAGGCTTTTAATCACCCAGTTGGTTAACTTAATTGTTAATTTCAGAACGTTTCGGCTGTTTCTTAATCTGTTGTTATCTTCAAGTATTATTCTGACAGGGACAGTTGTCGAAGTGGGAACAAAGCACATTTTCAAACAACAGTTCTTCCAAGTTGATAGAACATCTGTCTACTCAAGCCTTTGGATTGTATTCTAATTAAACCTGTCTTAAAAATGTCATTTTGGGGAAAATACTTAAAGGGGGCAAATGAATTAACTTCCAAAGATTGTAGAATGAAAATTAATCCAAGCACATATTCATGATGTTAGGAAAACACGTAGGTTCAAGGTGGACCTTTCGAAAGCGCTCGGATTATAGGGATTATTTTAATGTTAAATCCAAGCACATAATTAGAGATTATTAAACGCTACCCATAATTGGGATTGTTTAAAGACGCTGTTCAATAAATCTGTGTTTTTCTACCTAGTGGAGACTCCTCCAGTCCCCTGTCCGTTTCGAGGGTCCTTCACGTTTACCTACAGTCGAGGACACGGTGAATGTGACTACCCGGTATCCACTGCTGATCCTTGCACTGATGAATCTCGAATGCTTTTTAAGTTTAAAGCTTGTGCTAGTGTCATTACATCGGAGAGTAGAGGTAAGCTGGGAAATAAAGGTTTTCTATATTATCGTAAACACACATTAAACCTATCATAATGTTGTTTTCAATTGCCCAAATACTAAAGTTTTTTTTTTTTCGTAATCAATTGAATATTAATGCACGACAACTGGGCAATTTATTCAATCACTAATCCATTACAATTATATATTGCATTGCATAAAGAATAGAAAAAAAGACCAACAAAGTCAATAAAAATTTGTTCAAAGTAACATTTTCAGCATTATTTTAACGTGTCCATTATCTCGTTGAAACAGTCTTATTGTTTTATTCCTGATACACACACACACACACATATATATTTTAACAACTATACATGTGTTATTTTTAAACACTGTGTTTTATAAGATTTATTCTAGAATCCAACCGAAAAACCCTTGGCTAAAAAGGTATATATATATGTGTGTGTATTTTTTCTATAGATTATTCGAAGTATGAGACTTCGTTTTAAATTTTCTAAAAGTCCCTTTTTGTGTTTAATGAACGGGTAATGAACAAGAAAGGCCATCTGAGTCGAAGAATTCTGTAGCTTCTGAATTGTTAAATTAATTTTTACTTCTATCAAATGCCTCGAATGATTTATAGCTAGCATACTATTGTTGATTTCTACAAGGAAGATTTACGTGTTTTTCCTGTGGACTAATTTATATTGGAAATATGTGTATTTTTTATGAAAAGAAAGATTGTGTACAAACAAGAAGAAGCTTGTAACCCGAATCAAAAACAAAATCGTAACGAGGTGTTCTCTGCTGCAAAACGACCATTTTAAATACACGGGAGAGCTGTTCCTTAGATCACATCAACATCTAGCCAAGTAAGTGTTAAAAGTATTGTCGGTAATGAGTGGTCCAAGCCAATCTTCACTAAGACTAACCTCCAAGAACGAAGAAAAATTGAGCTTTTAATGCACAAGACCTGTCACCATTAGATGTCTTTCCTTATTTGTGGACATGTAGCAAATCTAGCTTCGCAGTCTTGGTCTTCGAGCTGGCACGAGACGAATGTCGTTCTTCTCCGACACGTGCCATCTTGCGGCCATTTGTTACACGGCTTCAACTAGTGAGTGGCATCAGTTGACGACAACTCTGCACATTTCAGTTTTGCCATTCCTGCTAACACGTAGTCCATACTTGAAAACCATTTATTTATTTAGTTTTCTGTTAGTGTTACCCCTTGGCATATAATTAGCAGTTAAGCCGACCGTGTAGTCTTTAACTCGCAGAGAACTTCAAGCGTGTAACAAAAAAAAAGAATTTTGGACTTTTTTTTTCTAATGGCGTTGTTAGTCTACGAGAAACGAAAAGAAATTTGCCTGTTATATGACATTTAAATGAAAGGTAATGATCCGTGTGTAGCTTCGAAATACGTCTCACGCCAAATCATTCTAGCAGTACAACTAGCTTTGAAATAAAAAAAAGATGCACTTGTAATTTCTGTTTTCTAGTGTCACAGCTGTTATAGGAAGTGGGGAGTTTAGATGAGAAAGGGGAAGTCTCTACGTTTCGTATGGGGGGAGATGCTGTTTCCCTTCTTCTGTGGATCTGAGCATCATTTAGATGAGCATATCGACTTATTGCTACTCAAGCAAAAGATTAAATTACATGAACGAGAACATTTTGTCACATTGCTTCTTAATTTCTAAATCGATAGAAAAATTTCATTTTCGTGTATGTTAAGAAGTACGTTTTCCGTTCAAGTATGATTTAGTAACATATAAAACGAAATAAGATTCTATTTTAGCTTAGTTTAACTTAATAAAACGTTGTCTTAGGAAAATATAAATATTCAAAAATAGTCATATTTATTGCTTTGATTTATCTGTCTAAGAATAAGCCATTTTGAATAGAGTGAACGAAAATTCGTATACTTATACTGAGTTAATGTTAACTTTTGGAAGATGTCATGCAGAAATGCTTAATTTACGTTGTATTATCGTATAGAAATACAAAAGAGAAAACACAAAGCGAGAATTTTTACCAAAGTGTTTTACTATGTTTTTGTCATTTGCAAACAACCCTGAAAGGCTGTTGACCAATACTCTATTGTTATGTAATTATGAGTAAACAACGGGGTACAACTATACGCTCAAAAAAGGATGTATGCTTTGAGATACACTGAAAAAGTACATTTTATTCACTTAACTCATTTTCAACATATATTCCACTCACATTCAAATACCACGAAAACCGAAAAACAGGATTACTGCACAATGAAAACAACAATTATTGAATTTCGGGATTGAAAATCGGCCCATAGTTAGTGTGCCGGACTGTGGAGCTCATGTTCGCTAGTTTACATCTTGTTACTTCTCCCCCCCCCCCCAAAAAAAGAAATCGTGCTCCGAACTTTGGGGCCATGGATGCGTTATAAGTGGAACTGTTAAATCCTACTATTCGGTCTGAAAAGTGTATCCCAAAATTTTGCAGCTTTGTTACCTCAAAATTATGACCATGTAGCGTAAAGAGCCATCGTGTAGCTTTGTTAGGAATTCAACAAACAAAACAAAGTATTAGAAATAATTATGCGAACTAAGAAGTAATACACATACGTGAAATGATGTATTATTAAAATTAAATCGTCAATTTATCATTAGTAGAATACACTATTAGAGAAGTTATTTACATAGAGCAGCATCATACTATAATTTATCAATGTAATATTGTAAAATGTTGTTCCAAATCTTCTGTATTACTTCCTACAATTCAGCCAAGTTGTTTGGTGCCTGTTTGATCTACTCGATTTCCATATAACCCAATATGCTTTAGTAATATTCATACTGGAAAGTTTTGCAGGCAAAACCATGGTGGCGGTGAGTGTTCCATCGGCTTTTCTTTCTTTTCCGACATCGTTTCGCCACGTGTATACTTGTGACTATTCTCTTACTGGAAAATAAATCCTTACGTCTAACAGGCTTTGTTGTTCTAAAGGATATAAAATTATGCATTGTGCTGTACCTTACAGCAGCCATTGTGCCATCACTTTTTTGTAGATTTTCAATAACATTGTCTGAGATCGGGTAAACTTTTACAATTTTGTCATGTGGTCCTTTTTATCCTGGGAACCATGAGAGCATTTCTCACATAGCTGCAGTGAATAGTATGACTCCCTGAGTTTTTGTAATGATTATGTTGATATGTCATTGTCTTTTTGATCGGATTACAACAAATCATAATGTAAACTAATCAATCAAAACGCGAATGTACTGTGATGCAGTTGATTTTCATACAATACAGGGGGATTGCTGCTATAACGTTTGAATTTGGTAGAGGTTGAGTACATTATGTTTTGGAGCCTCAACACAATGTTGCAGTTAATGTCGCCATCCCCGGTGACAACAATCCTGTAGTATAGTTTCTGTTGTAAAAGGCTTAATCTTAAAACCGTCATGTGCAAAACACACCACTTCTCCTTGTATGCTTTCCATATTCCACCTGATATATGAGGACGATGGTTTCCCATCGCTCGTTTCAACAGCCGGGATGCATAGAAATTCATATGGAATAACATGAATATACACTTCATTCTCGAGCTGTTTGAGTTATGTAATGATTGAACAGGTTTGTTGCTAGGGCGATGACACCGAAAGTTGATCGCATTTGGGACTCGCAGATTTGGAATTTTCAAGACAGGGATACCCGCTGTACTTACTGACATTGGACTTGTTCGGTTCGGTTGTAATTAAGCACAAAGCTACACAATGGGCTATCTGTGCTCTGCCCATCAAGGGTATCGAAACTCGGATTCTAGCGTTGTAAGTCCGCAGACATAACGCTGTGCGACCTGCAACAAATCATACCCGAGTTTTAAAAAAAAAGAGTGCGGCGTCTTATCAATGAACACAAAGATCAAGGGCAATAAATGTCCACGCACCAAGCAACAAATAGTATGCAATTTAATCAAGAAAGCGATTCAAGTTAAATGTACACAAATTTCTTCCACTACAAAACACTAAACCACGAATTTATATCCTCTGTGTTTGTCACCGGACTTGCTTTAATATAATACACTGAGACCATTGTAAAACCATTTTATTCATCATTTCCATAATAATTATCAGTGTTACATTTATGTATATCCATACGTATGTATTATTGCAGTCTCTGTAAGGCTATTTTATCAGTTGGTATTTTTTTTAGCAAGTTCTATAAGCTTGGACAATTCAGATCCACTAAATACTTCTTAAATTACATTTGGTATTCAAAAAGAAAATTAATGAAAAGTATGTATTAGATACCCACTTTGCATATGTTGTAATAGGTTATAAACTAAATAATTATATATCATTACAGATTGCTGATATTATTATTTACTAGTATTTCAGGTGTGTATATGTAGTTCTACTTAATAAAACACTCCATGTTTTGAGTCCCATAAAACCCTTTATAAATAACTTGCAATATTATCTGCATCATTTTATATTTTTATTTTAAAATGTTTGTTTGTTTGAAGTTAACCACAAAGCAACACAATGGGCCATCTGTGCTCTGCCCGCCACTGGTATCTAAACCCGGATTCTAGCGTTGTAAATCTGCAAACATACCGATGTGCCACTGGGGGGCATTTTAAAATGTAAATGTAATTTTAATTACCTCAGTAGTCATATTTTCACGTTTAAATTAATCGTTGGTTGTTCCTCATCATTCTATTTTACAGCTGTTTGGATAAAATAACTTATTATTAGATATCGCAGTGTACAAAGAGTTTATAAATGCAACACACACGTTGTCCAGAACATATTTTGGTATAAAATAAAATAAGTAATAAAATCGAATTGCACAATGAACCGAAAATTTTAAAACCAACTTTACTAACGATAAACATTGTATTAAGAGTTGCCCTCCGTGCTGAATTCATAGTTAGAAGTTTGAAACAATCATTGGGTATAACTTAAGCAAATCTAGGTAAATCATGTTTGATGTGTATTGTTAAATATTCGTTAAGTTTCAGTTTGAGACGTAACGGGAATTAAATAAAGTTTT